TTATGACGCAGACCTCTGCACATCGCGCGCGCAGAATCGCGCCGGGCACCCAACGCTTCCGCCCGGCGGCAGGGTCCGCCGTGCTGTCGAGCAGATGCAGGGATCATTCGCGCGGCCGACGCTAGACGAGGGCTTCAAGGCGATTGCTATCGTACGTTCCTTCGCTGCCGTGGAGGAACTCGTCTCGCGGCTGTCTCCGCCAGTCACGCTCTTCAAGTTCCCGCGCACGGAGCACCTGCTCAACCTTGGATCGGCGACAGAGGATGATCTGGTGGGCGGTATGCCCGTCGCGCGGGAGGGGACAAACGTGGTGATCACGGAGAAGGTCGATGGCGCGAACATGGGCTTCTCGCTCTCGGCCGACCGGGCACACGTCATTATGCAGAATCGGTCGCACTACGTCAACCCGGCGACGCATGCGCAGTTCAAGAAGCTCGGGCTCTGGGTCGAGCGGCATCGCAAAGAGCTCTGCGGAGTGCTTGATCGAGACCCGCACTTTGCGCAGCGCTACATCCTGTTCGGCGAGTGGCTTGTAGCGACACATTCCATCCCGTACACGCGGCTGCCAGACTTCTTCCTCGCATTTGACGTGTACGACCGCAGCACGCGTACGTGGGCGGGCAGGCGGACGCTCGAACGTCTACTCGCTGTTACGAGTATTCGGCCTGTGCCTGTCATCTATGAGGGAAAAATGCCCTCGGAGTGCGAGCTGCGGGCGATGACACAGCAACCCTCGCAGTACTATGACGGACTGCTGGAGGGAATATACGTCAAGATCGAAGAGGGTGATAGAGTAGTAGCACGGGGGAAGGTGGTCCGAGGCGATTTCATTTCCGGGAACGAGCACTGGGGGAAGGCACCTCTTCATCTAAACACTCTGGACCGTACTATAGAGCCTCTCCATGGTGGCATTGCTGGGAATCAGAGAGAGCAGCTATGTGTTGCCGGTATATGAATATTGCACGACTTTGCTCGACATCACAATATCGCGCGCGTCTCTTCTCTATCGGCCCATCGTGCATTTGCAGAACCAATGATGGGAATGGCAGCCCATCCATGGTCTGTTATCTGGGCTGTTCCACAACCGAAAAGAGCGCAGTAAGCTGAGACCGAGCGAGCGACATGCGAAACATCTAATCCGGATTCTCGGCACGATGAGGATAGGACGATTATCTCGCTGCCGAGCTCACAGCTGCCTCCAAATTGCTCGCTCTTCGCCAGCTTCCTCCTAACCACTCCCTGATCCTCCTTCGCTCGCTCACCGTCGTCCGCAGCCATGGCCACCCACACCTACCCACTTTTCTGCATGGGCAACCCCCTGCTCGATATGCAGGTTTACAACGGCGAGGAGCTCCTGAAGAAGTACGACCTCAAGGCGAACGATGCTATCCTCGCGGAGGAAAAGCACATGTCCATGTCCGTATCGCATACCTTGATTGGTCGTGATAAAGGCTCAATGAGCATGCAGCTATGAGGAGCTTGTCCAGAAGTACAAGGTCACGTATGTTGCCGGAGGGGCCGCGCAAAACGCGGCGCGAGGAGCGGCGGTAAGCCAGCATTAGGTACTCACGGAGACGGTCTGACCATCGTTCCGTCAGTATGTCCTCCCTCCGAGGTCCGTGGTCTACACCGGGTGTGTCGGAGATGACGACCTCGCGGAGCAGCTGAAGGCTGCTAACACGCGTGAGGGGCTCGCGGAGGCCTACCTCGTGAAGAAAGGCGAAAAGACCGGCGCGTGCGCCGTTGTCATCACAGGCCACCACCGGTGCGTGTCTTACTCCTTAGTATCTCTTGACAACAGGCTGACGGGCCGTGCAGATGCCTGGTGACCACCCTCCGCGCAGCGGAGAAGTTCGAGCAGTCCCACCTGTCCTCCCCGGCGGTCGCGCCGCTCGTCGAGGGCGCGCGCGTGTTCTACGTCGAGGGCTACTTCCTCACGCATGGCGCCGAGTCCGCGCTCGAGGTCGCCAAGAAGTCGTCCGAGGCCAGCAAGGTGCGCATCTCCCCGTCCCTCCTCCTCCGCGCCCGCTGACACGCCAGCCCGCGCAGGTCTTCGCGCTGAACCTCTCCGCGCCGTTCATCCCGCAGTTCTTCGCGGTGCAGCTGCAGCAGATCGTGCCGTACTGCGACATCATCATCGGGAACGAGGCCGAGGCCGAGGCGTGGGCGAGCGCGACCGGACACCCGGACAAGACGAACCTCGCCGCCGTCGCGCGCGCGCTCGCGACGCAGCCCAAGTCAAACGCGTCGCGCCCGCGCATTGTCATCATCACGCACGGCCCGAAGAGCACCACGCTCGTCTCGTCCGCGGACCCGGACAGCCCCAAGGTCTTCGACGTGCATCCGCTCAAGGACGAGGAGATCGTCGACACGAACGGCGCGGGCGACGCGTTTGCGGGCGGCTTCCTCGGCGCGTTCGTCGCCGGGAAGAGCATCGACGAGTGTGTCGAGGCGGGCCACAAGCTGGGCGCGATGTGCGTGCAGCAGGTCGGCCCGCAGTACCAGTGGCCGAAGGTGGACATCTTGTGAAGGACTGATCTAAGTGGTCGTGCATGTGTATAACATATCTTCTCGCTCTCAACAGCGATATAGCACTAGCCTTCGCATGCTCTCATCACATGTGTAGAATACGAGTTCCATCAGGTGCAATTTGTAGCTAAATACATACCCGCACAGTACATGTCCTGGTCTACGAACGAAATGCATAAGGTTAAAGGAACGATTATGCGGTATGCGGTATAAAGCGAGCGTGGATAGTAGGGTACAATTGCATAACCGTCCGGTGTGCAGTTCGTTAGTTATCGCATTAAGTTGGCCATCACGTTATCATGAAGGCGGTGGAGAGGCCAGCGACTCCTAGGACTAATGTGTCAACGGCGGAGATTCAGGGTATCAGAGTGGAATAGCAACCGACCTGTGTCAATAACTCCGCTACACAAGGAGGGTCAGCTTGTATCAGTATGCCTGACGACGCTCAACAGACCTGGGTTAAGCATCGGTTCACCGTCTTCTGTCATCATCTGCGGCATGCCCTGGACCGGGACGCGTACCTGCTGCTGAGGAGCGGACTTGTCGACTCCCTGTGCGTTGGCATCTGGCTGCAACTGGCCCATGGCGGCTCCCAGCGACACCGACTGCTGGCTCATTTGCTGAACACCCTGCTGCGATGGTCCTGTGTTCTGCACCTGCTCGGCGGCGCTGGCCATTGCAGCGGCGCTCGCGGCTGCCTGCTGTGCCTTCTCGTAGTCCAGAACGGCCTGCACGGCGGCTTGGGCGATTTCCCACCCGTCCTTGGCGTCGTTCGCGCCGTTCGACTGCGCAAGGGTCGCGTTCGTGACGCAGACCTCCGACGTCTCGACGGGCTTCTGCAGAGACGGGTCTATGACCGGCGGCGCGTCTGCCACCTGCCGGTCAGACTCCGGGACCTCTTTCACGACAGTCGCCGGCGAGCTCTGTGCCGAATGGGCGACAGACTGGACGCCATCACTCGATTGGAAGTGGCCGCCATTCTGAGGCATATTGACGTGGGGGTGCGCTTGGGGCTGCTGCGGGTGGGTAACCATGCCGGGATGGCGATAATACGGAGATGCTGAGTAGTAGGGACCCTGCGGCATGTACATGGCCGAAGGGGGTACCTGGTGGCCGGGGGGAACCTGCCCTTCTCCAACCCAAGGCGGAGGAGGGGGCGGGTGCCAGCTGGTCTGATGAAGGCGTGTGGCCGACGTCGGAAGTCCGATCGGTGGCGGGGGGTAGTGCGGGTCCATCATGTAGCCTGGCGGAATGGGCGAACGTGAGTACGCTGGACGGCGATGAGCATGGCAGAGATGGGCGGAGGCTCTGGACTACGAACCGTGACTCATGGTATGCTGCCGATAATAGGTAGAGGGCCCGCTCGCCGGACCAGCGGTGGTGGGCTGCGCCAGGGCACTTGGGGGAGTACTCTGCGCACTTCCCGGATCGCCATGGCTTCTGGCGGGGGTTCCGCGCGGACTGGGGGTATGTGACTCTATAGAACCACCGTCTCCATCCATATCTTGACTCTTGTCCGGCTCGGCGGGCTCGATGATGACGCCATTGTGTCTGCGTACTCCAGGTGAACCCGACGGAAGCTGATTGAACAGCGATCCGACTCACCTGGATTTCTGATGTCGACGGAGTGCGTCTGTCTATAATTATGATCAACTGGAGATTGCGACCAGCAGTCACGGGATGACAAACCCTAGTAAATGTAGCATCGCATTGTGGACAAGCACTGCGGGGTAGAAACGGAACCAATCAAATTGATGTAGAAATTGACAGCTCACGCTACTCACAAAGCAGGCATAGAGTGCAGCTTAGTGGTCCGCTGGTGCCGCTTAAGATCGGCTTCGCGAGCAAAGACCTTGTTGCAGCCATTGATCTTGCAGGGCCATGAACCAGTCTCTTGCTTCTTCTTGTTAGCAGAGGACGACTTCTTTGGCGCAGCTTTCTTCTCCCCAGGCTGTAAATGGCATGTTCAGCCACAATGGCTTCGCAAGGTGGCTCGAGGTGGCTGAAGCCCATCGCGACCGCGAAGTGGGGAAAAGACGCTTACCGCTTGCTTCATATGCGCTCTTACCATCGTAGATTCGTCAAATCAGCAGAGTATGCAGATTAGACGAGGATCTGAGGGCTGAGCGAATTATTACGAGGGAAATGGGATGCGGACGGCGGTGTGGCTGGCGAGCGTTAGCTGTGGCAGAGCAGTGGCAGACCCGGTGGCGACGAAAAGCGGCGAAAAGTTGGGTCCCAATTCCGCTTCTGTCACGCATGTCACACGCGCACCCGTGATTGTCACTCGACGTCATCGGCCGAACACCGGGCAAGCGTCAAGTGCACTGCAGCCCCCTCGAGCACACGATAAAGCGCACCGTGTAGAGCACCATCGGCAGAGGACCACAAGCAATTCACGGGAAAAAACATTGCAATCGAAAATGAGACGAAAAGCAGTACCAGAGAAAAAACCCCATTCGAAAATTAGATGCGTGCGCCGAGAATTGAACTCGGGGCTGATCGAATTGGACGCAAGTGGCAACGATCAAGGTTACCACTACCCCACGCACGCATTTCAGACGCCCAGCGAATCACGGAATAGGCAATTTGTGCATGCTCCGAGGTTTTCTCTCTGCGAAACTTGTGAAATCACTCGTCCCATGGCATCCGTTGTGACAACACCTCACAAAGAGCCCCCAAAAATGAGAGAGGACACCATCCAGGTTGGCAGCAGCCTCCTCATCAAGGTGCCGAACGGGGATGTACGGCCCATGAAGGTGGAGCAGAACGGGTATGTCAGACCCCGAATTTGAATGATTCTCGCTAACCGAGCCCAAGCACAATCAACCTCGGAAAGTTCGGAGCGTTCTACGCCAGTGAACTTGTTGGCCAGCCGTACGGCTTGACCTATGAAATCGTGGACAAGAGGCTCAAGGTCGTACCTCCTCGGAGCATCCAGGAAGTAGGTAGGCATCCCGTTCCTGAACATACGCAGGGAGCTCACAGTCTGTGCAGAAGAGACCGATGCTACCAACGAGCTGATCAATGATGGCCAATTTGTGCAACCTTTGACGATAGAGGAGATCGAGACCTTGAAGAAATCCGGCCTCCACGCATCGGTGCGTAGTATAGTCTCACGCGACCGCGCATAGCTGACGTCGCTGCAGGAAATTATCAAGAAGCAAATAGAGCAGCATGCAAACTATCAGCTCAAAACGGAATACAGCAAGGAGAAGTACAAGAAGCGGAAAGAGGCAAAGTAAGCTATCCTTGCGATCACACGAGACCTGGGCTTACGTCCCGGAACGCTGCATAGGTACTCGAAATCGTTTACCGTCGTCGAGCCGACACTCTTCAACGTGTGCGACTACTGGTTCAAAAAGGACCAGAACAGACTGCGCGACATCCGGCCAGACGCGCTATCGCAGATGCTGAACTTGGCGAATATTCGGCCGGGAGGCAGGTATATTGCTGTCGACGACGCGTCGGGTGTTGTTGTAGCGGGAATCCTGGAACGCCTAGGTGGTAAGAGCGTCTTTCGTCTATATGAGTATATCTGAGAAAGCCATTGTGCTTCAGGATCCGGTCGCCTCATTACAATATGCGACATCGACTCCCCACCCGCATATCCTGTTACGGTGCAGATGAACTTCCGGAAGGAAGTTGTTGCACCTGTCATGTCGTCGCTGAACTGGGCGACCGCTGACGAGGATTACACGCCAAGTATGTGTGCTAAGGCGATCATTATCCCTTTGTGTTGAACGGCGCCTTCGTCAGTAATGCCACCCGCCGAAGCCCCGGGCCAAATCAAGGATTCGCAAAAATCTCGGTTGAATAAGCGGAAGGCGGTAGCCAACTCGCTGATGCAGACAAGAGAAGAGCTTTTCGCGGGGGAGTTTGACGGGTAAGCACGAGCTCGTCTTCACAGCGTTGCGGAGAGTGACACCAATATAGCCTTCTAATTGCGAGCGAATACGAGCCGTTCTCAATCATTGAAAAGCTGACACCATACGTCGCCGGTTCAGCAAACATAGTTGTTCACAGCCCTTTCGTACAAGTAAGTCTTGTGTTCATTTATCATGACACCCTTCTTACCGAGGCATATAGATTGTAACAGATCTGCAAAATAAGCTGCGAGATCTACCACAGTATCTCGGGCCCGCTGTGTCTGAAGTTTGGACCCGCCAGTATCAAGTTGGTGATGCCTTCGCCTTTAAACGTGCGATCTCTGATGCGGGGAACCCAGGTACTACCGGGCCGCACCCACCCAACGATGAATACTTCTGGTTCAGGCGGATTCATTCTGCACGCCATCAGGGTGTAAGTGTATGGCGTCAAGAGGTATGTCACCAGGCTTACTCTGTGCGCCAGGTACGACGACCCAAAGGCCTCGTCTGTGGTTGCACATCGACAGAAAAAGAAGGCAAGGCTGGAGGGAACGTCGCCAGCCCCAGCCGATTCTGGAGATGTCACGCCAAGTAACCCCGACTCTCCTATGGTCAGGGATACGCCAGAGACCCCCGCTCTCGATTCGAGCGCTGTCAGTAATGCCGACACTAGTGGGGCAGAGGCATCGGGCGACGTTGAACTGGGATCATTATGAGCCTCCGTGGGCGTCGCCTTGGAGCGCAAGACGCTAGTCCATCCCGGACATTCTAGGAGGTACCATGCACCGAGCCTCGACAAAATTACAGGGTATCTATCCTTCAGCCATTAGGCGACATAGTGCGGACATGTATGAAGGTGTACAATATTAACAATTCCCGGCAATCGCTATGAGTCAGAAAACAAAGCAGAGAAGACCTGGGGGCTAGTTTCAGACTGCGGTAGCCGCGCACGTCGTTCAGCGACTCACCTCGTCCAGGATCGTGTACAATATGTGTTGGTTGAGTCGCCGGTTCTGAAGGACTGCAAAGATCCTTCGCGCCCCCCGACGGGCATTTGACCGTCCAATCATGTTGGCAGCAAGATCTGTACAACTCTGTCAGAATCAGCAACCAAGGCTAGCAGCTTTGTTGCCTACCTGGGATTAGCGCCGACAATTTGCGATTAGCCTCGTCTCTTGTATGTAACTTTTCCTCAGCCGTCCGTGGGGCACCAGTTGGCTTCAGCTGGCCTGCAGACCATAGGCCATCCCGGAACACGTTAACATAATTGAGCACGTGAGGTTCATCAAGGTATGCCTTCAGTGTTTCCCGCAATTTTCTGCAACACCATGAGATCAGCTGGGGGAGAGGTTCATAGCCATTTGCACGTACCGTTCGATTGTGCCGCCGAAGACTTGCTGGAGAATGATCACTATAGCCTGACGTCGCAGCCAATTGTTCTTCTTGTTCAGCTCAAAGACTGCCAAGATCAGATCACAGATCGGCGACGAGAAAGAGGAGCTACTTGTCTCCCCTTCCAGCGGCTTGAGGTCTCCAGAAAGCTGTAGAAGTGTATCTTCCGTCGTAGACTTCCCAGACGCCCGCAGAGCCTGCGCAACCAAGTCCTCGTCATGGATGCCACTTCCGACAATGCCGGCAAACTCCGCGGCCTGTGTCGTGAGCCGTTGTATGATAACGTCCAGCATCGACGGGCCAAAGAACATGTCGTCGATGCTATCTGCGACGGACTTGTACATCGTGCGGACGAGGCCTTTGCCGGGGAACCTGGGGCCTGGCGCGGGAGCCTTCGAGGGAGGTGTGTCGATCACGGCGGCAATGAAGGGAGAGTCACGAGAAAGGAAGCTTCGCAGTTCGTCACTTTCGCACACCGCAGGGATTGCGATGATGCTCTTAGGTCACAGTTAATCGCACGTATAACACCTAGACAGCGATTTCTCACCTGCAGATACTTCTCGAGGGCGACCCGGCGGGAGTCAACGAAGCTGCTAGATAGAGACGCGACAAGCTGTTTCCTAGGGAAGTCCAGGTTTCGAACGAGCGCATAACGTTCGCGCAGCTTGTTGTGCATACTAAAGAACTCGTTGTACCGTCTTGCAACGACCCATCCGGACGCGTAAGTGCCGTCAGGCGCGAGCTGCTGCACTTCGATGAGATACCGAACTACGGATCGCCCGTCTTCTTCGCCAACTGTGGAGTTGACAATAGCGACCTTCGTGCGATCCGAGAGCAGACGATTTGCAGACTCCTGTTGTTCATACTGTGTCTTCTGGAACCGCAGCTCGCGCAGCTCCCTTGTCATGGAGGACTTAGATTTGCGGAGCAGGCGTTGTTCCTGAGCGTCGCCCGTTAGCTCCGCCTTTTTGATCAATGTGTCCAGCATGGAATCCTGGGATTGAAGTTGTTCAATCTTGATCGACAGCCGAGCAATCTCGTGCGAGAGTTGAAGATCGCCCGGCCCTGCGAGCTGGAACGAGCCATGCGTGGTGTCTTCCTCCTCTTCTGCCTCCTCTTCCTCTTCCTCGATGTTATCCTCAAATACCTTCCTGTTCCGTCTCCCGCCAATTCTCGAAGACATTTTGCTACTCTGGAGATCCACACCGTCGGATACGTCCCGACTCTGTATTTCCTCCGGTTCATTTGACAGAGCGATGATATCCGTCAGAGCGGCCTGAATTGCCTCCATGCGTTGTGACTGTTCCTTCACACCCTGTGTATCCTCGGGGTCGTCGAACAATGGTGCCCTTGAGGACGACGACGAAGGCGCATCGTGCGCAGAAGTCATGAGAACTTCCAAACTGGACGTCGAGGTCCGAGGAATCATACTAGGGGCTGGCTCGCCCAGCAACGACGAGGGGGAAGTCGGTCCCATGCGAAGAGGTCTTCCACCGCCCGCAAATGCCGGGGATGTCTCTGAGCGAAAAGTTGCCCGGGAAGACGCGGCATGCCCTGTAAACGGGGCGGGGCTCGCCGATACATGCGACATCTGTGAGACCGGTCGAGCAGCCACGGCATTATCCGTCGCGCCCCTCCGACCACTCGCTTCCAGATCCCCGATGGCGCGGAACCACAGCTCTGACAATTGGAATTCTTCGAAGTCTTCTTCCATCTCCCGTTCCACCTGCCGCTGCGTGAGCATCACGCTCCTACGTACCCTCCGTTCGGCTGCTGGATCAAGCGTCTCCTGATCTAGGCCAAAAGACCGAATCGAGCTGACGTGTTTCTGGGAGATGGAACTCAAGAGGGGGTCGATCGTAGTGCCCGAGAAATATAGCTCGTTTAACATGGCTATATCCTCCTTGAGGGTGGCGGAGCGTGTAGGGTCGACCACCGCCTCATCCTCTTCGTCAGAGCTCCCTGAGTCTACCGAGTCCAGCGGATTCTTGAAGCTCTCCACTGTGAGCCAGAACTGCACGAGGAGCGAATGATGTCGGCGATCCATGAACTCCATGAAGTACGAAAGGGAGCCGGGGTTCCTGAGGACGTCGCGAAGACTCAACTGTGGGTCAGCGGCCAATTCTGGGATAGTCGAATGTCGCTGCGGGAAGAGTAAGCCGTTATTGAATGACACTGGCGATTGAAGTGATCAGACAGCCTACTGGATCGGCCTCTCCACCCAATACGATGATACGCTTCTCCACCTTTCGCTTAGCCGTATAAAGCCGGTCCAGAAACGCTACGATGTCTT